ACATGTGCTCTTTTGAATTTTTGGTAAAACATAGAAGGAAAAAACAGTAAATATTTGAAAATGTGTTAATGGGGCTGCCAGTGAGTGATGATGAAGAGAAGTTCATAAAAATGTCTGGTTTTAGGAATATTTAATAGATTTTACTGATTCTGAAATTAGATTTAAATTGCATTTGTTTTGTTCTTAATTGCACGCAGATGGATGGATTTATCTTACCACCTTTTGAGTCAACTTGTTTCTTCAAAGATAAAGATGTGATCAGGTAATTTTTTATGCTTTTATAGTAATTTTGTGTGAACTGTGAGGTCTCTAACATAGCCTCTGTATTATGTTAGTGTGAAGAAGAAGGGAGGCTCATTGGCTATTCAATGTGATGCATCTAATTGTGTGGATGATTACCAAATTGTTGAGAAAGTAACTGCAAAAACCAAACTGGAGGCTATGGCTCTACCACGTGAAGTATTTGACATTGAAACTAGAGGCTATGAGGTGCATGAACCTGAAAAGGGGGGGAGAGACCAGGTGGATGATTGCGACTCGTATGATGGAATTCCGGTCTCCAAGAAAAGGAAGTCATCAGGGAAGCTTCATAGCCCAAAGTATGAACCATATTCTCCACGTCGGAATTCATTTTGTTATGTTTTTCTTTTCTTTCTCAATTATGCCTCCTGTATAGTTGGAACTAATGAGAATTAATGATCTTTGTGAATACAGAAAGAAGAAAAAGTGTCATCAAGTTGCAGAGGGGTGTAACATGGATGATCAACCAGAGCTAACCAAGGAATCTAAACAAAATCTGACAGTCAAGAAAAGTAGTAAAAATCAACAAAAAGTATCTGGACCACGTGAGATGAATAAGGCTGAAAGTAATAGAGAAACTGTTGAAATGAGTGAAAACAATTTCACTATGCCTGACATTACTAAGTATGTGTTGTCGCTCGTTAGCCTAAATCTTATGTGGACTTATGTGTTTGATCCTTGTTTAAATTGTGATTTTATTTGTTTTCCCACCATCTTATTGTATTTTTTTATTCATATTGACACCACGTTTTTGAAACATTTCCCCAATTTGATTCTTGCATTGAATTTAAATTGCAATGGAAAAAAGAGGCAACTCATATATACAGCTCTTACTTTCTTGTATCTTGTTAACTCCCCAAGAACCCAACCCTGTCCCTCCTACGTTGCTTATATTCTTGAAATAATCTTGTGATATCCAAGTGCACGCTGGCATACAGTAATTGTCTCTTGTTGTTACCTTAGAAATGATCAGATTCTTGAATCTGGGAAAGATCATTTCGCTGTCACAGGAAAGCCAGAGGAAAGAAAAAAGGTATTTCTAATCAGATCTTAAGATTTTATTGAAGCTAATCTTTTGAGACCTTTTGCTTTGTCAGTTTTTGTTACATATTTCTTTCCAAGATACTGTATGGAAAACTGTATTTGCAATAGCTCACCACACATTAAATACTTTGAACTGTTGTTATGTAGCTTGTATAAGGGAATTTAAGGGTAACTTGCCTTCAAATGACATTCATAAGTACATTTTAGGAGCATCATATTTTCCATTGAAGTGTGCTTTTCTCTCACCAATCATTAGTACGTAGTATCTCTTAATGTGATTTTATCTCAACCTTGTTTTAAATTGTTATTGCTTGTGAAAGTGTATACTTGATTTCATCAGGGTCCTAGCAGGAGTTCGAGGCGACAATACACCAAGAGGCGGTTGATTCGGCAAATGATTAAAATTCTAAAAGAAAATGACAACTCTCAATTAGAGGTACTTGTTTGCATAATAATACACAAACAATGGACTTCACTTTTAAGAAATTGTTCTCAACATCTGCTCTTGATTGTATAGAGCAATTCAAAGGGGATGCAATCTGTTAAAGAAGGGGCTGCTAGGCTACAAAAAGGGCCTGTAAGTGATTGAATATGCACAAAGTTTCCCATTATGGTGGACATGGACCTTTGGCAACTTATAGCCTGGACCATTGAAATCTCATAACCTGAATTTGCAGCGGAAATGGAAGAAGGAACGAGATAGTGATCAAAGACAAAAGAATGTAAGCCAACAACAATGATGTTTCAGTAAAATGCAAATGCATAAAGCTTTTGTTTTTATTACATACTATCTGTTAAGTTAAAGCTCCTTTCATGAATATCTAGAAATCTTGGGCGCCGAGGCGAGCCGGAGCTGAAATAGAAGAAACCCCTGGTCAACCCAAGGGACTCGTGAGTATTACAATTCAATATAAAATTTGTTACGTAGTTCCCATTTATACATGAGCAAACTTGTCACACCATTTTTTTCAGTTATATTGGAAGGGGTTGCTTTGCAAGGATATGGCTAAAGACATAAGCAACCATGCACATGCAAGTTCCAAAAGTCTCTCATGTGATGAGCCTGTTAAGAATAGTAATATCAATGGTGAGGCTGTTCCTGTTGAAGTAAGGCCAGAACATATATGCTCTGAGCTTTCTGGGATAGGTCTCTCTCTCTCTCTCTCTACGTTTACAGTTTACACAGATAGGCTGATATGCATTATCTTTGTTACTCTCTAGCATGTACCGGTTTAGAGGTATGAGTATTATCTATTCCTGTAGCATCACTAGCATGACCTGGTCTGTTTTTGGAATCAATGTATATACTCCCTCCATCCCGATGAGTTTGTCCACTTTTCTTTTTTGGGTTGTCCCAATGAGTTTGACCACTTCCCTTATTTCACAAATTACTAAAGACAAGCTTACTATTTTACCCTTAATACTTTATTTACTACACCCAACCTAGGTAACCAACCCTTCATTTAGTACAAAAAGATAGAGGCATGTTCGTAACTTTTTTTTTTGCTTTTCCTTAGTCTATCAGTGAATATATAGTATGTTGTAACATAGAGAATCTAACACAAGATTTTTTCTGGTTGGTGCAGAACAAGCTGTAGCACAGAATCAAGATAAAGGGGTAAGATATTTTTGTTTTTTGATCTGATTCTTGAGTAAAGCATTGATTTTGCAAACTCCATCGTAGTTGAGCTAAAACATTAAAAAAAATACCTGTCGTTCTATTTTTGCGATTAGTAATTAGTCATCGCTAAGCCCATATCTTTTTACACTAGTCTTGGAAGTGCTTACCGAGCATATCCAAGAACCCGTTTCATGGTGTATGCTTTTTGCCGATGACATCATCTTTATGGGCGAATCATGAGAGGATTTAAATGGGAAGTTGGATTCATGGAGACAGGTTTTGGAGTTGCATGGCTTGCGTATTAGTCGCATTAAAACAGAGTATATGGAGTGCAAGTTTAGCAACAGAAGTTGAAATACTAGCATTGAGGTGAAAGTTGGAGAAAATACTGTACCATAAGTGAAGAGATTTAAGTATCTTGGGTGTATCACTTAAGACAAAGGAGAAATAGAGGATAATGTAAACCACGTGATTCAAGCAAGTTGGTCAGAATGGCGGAATGCTTTGGGCTTTATATGTGACAAAAAAGTATCTTTCGAACTCAAGGGAAAGTTTTGCCGTACCGCAATTAGACTAGCTATATTGTATTGAACAGAGTGTTGTGTTGGGTAGCAAAGGGCAAACATGAACACAGGGTTAGTGTGACTGAAATGGAGATGCTTTGATGGATGAGCGGTCATAAACGTATGGATAAAATAAGGAATGAAGATATGAGTGCTAAAATTGGAGTGACACCTATAATAGAGAAGATGGTGGAAGCCGGTCTAAGGTAGTTTGGACATGTAGAGAGAAGACCCATAGAGCATCAGGTGAGGATGGTTGATCAAATGGTGAGTACACATGTGGCTAGAGGAAGAGGTAGACCTAAGAAGACTTGGCACGAAGTGGTCAAAGTAGACCTTCTCATGAATGATCTCGTTGCAGATATGGTTCTTGATAGGGCACAATGTGGGATAAGGCTTGGTTGTTGTTAACTTATTATTATGCCACTAATTTTAACAAAATTTTTTAGCTGAGTTTGTTAGCAATACTTATTGTTTTATTTTTTCCTAGAGAGAAATACTAAAATTATTATTTTCTATCAAGTTTCGTGAATGATGCTGAATTCCAAGTTTTGCTTCAGGATAAATTTGCTGTGAATGGCGTAAGCCCCAAAAAGGATCAGAAACTAAGCAAAAAGATTTCTCAAGGAATTGAAATTAATGAGCCCCATAATGAATCCTCTGAACTGTCAAGTGCTGAAATTTTAAGACATGGTCAACCCAAAGGACTTGTGAGTAATACAATTCAATATAAAATTTATCAGGTAGTTCCCCATTTACATGAGCAAACTTGTCACACTGTTTTTTCAGTTATATTGGAAGGGGTTGCTTGGCAAGGATATGGCTAAAGACAGAAACCATGCACATGCAAGTTCCAAAAGTATCTCCTGTGATGAGTCTGTTAAGAATACTAATATCAATGGTCAGGCTGTTCCTGTTGAAGTAAGGCCAGAACATGTATGCTCTGAGCTTTCAGGGAAAGGTCTTGCTCTCTCTCTCTCTCTCTCTCTCTCTCTCTCTCAGTTTACAGTTTACACAGATAGGCTGATATGCATTATCTTTGTTGCTCTCTTGCATTTACTGGTTTAGAGGCATCAGCACTATCTATTACTGTAGCATGACCTGGTCTGTTTTTGGAATGAACTAGACTCGTACCCGTGCGTTGCACGGTCTAATTATAAATTATATAGTTAGGAAATGTATTGATGAAAGAAAATAATAAAATTAAATTATAATAATAACATATAATCAAATATTAAAAAATGTGAATGAAATACATGTTTATCATGAAAGCTCACTTTCTTCATCTTGTCCAAGCCGGAACAAAGTAGACACGGCTGGTGATAAAAATCAAACCACATGCTCCCAAATGATAACATAAAGCAAAGCTATTACCAAGTGACACTAACTCTCACGATGCACAATAATAATAATTTAAGAAACAAACATGTCCCCCACACTAAACATGTATATATTTAAATCACAATTCTCACCAATGTGATTTCTTTTTCTTTTTTTTTTGAGTTTCACATAAACCTTGATAACAAAGCAAATCAAGCAGTGCTAAAGGCACAACTGCAACATTCTGAGTTTCATAACACAAAAATAAACCACTTGTAAGATAACAATCGCATCTAAATGATATCATTTATAGCACTGGCAATCATAGGTCAAAGATCAGCACATTCCTTCCCAATAGGGCCCGTAATGGCACTTTCTCTCATTTCTCCCTTGGGATTCACTATGACCCCAGCATTGTCTTCGAAGAACATGAAGACTCCATCCTTTTGACGGAAGGGTTTGCGCTGGCGAACAATGACGGCGAGCATGACCTTCTTACGGAGATCGGGTTTCCCCTTTTTCACTGTGGCCATAACCATGTCTCCGACGCAAGCAGACGGCAACCTATTGAGGCAACTCTTGATTCCCTTCACTGAAATGATATACAGATTCTTCGCCCACCGTTTTTGTCGACACATTTCCCGGCGGAACCTCGGCACCCTTGCTTTGACATTGTTAAGCTTCCCTTCTCTGCTCCGCCGATCCGACTAATCCAATGATATTTCTTAATGTTTGTTATCCTCCACTTCTATTTGCCTTTGTCAGCCAATATCATCTGCACCAAAATAAAACATGTAGGTTAATGAAGATTCAAAACTTATGATTTGTTATTTAAATAATTAGTCTTCCTACTATTATTTCTTATAGAGATAGTGACTACATTAAAGTTTTGTGACTGATATGCAACCTAAGAATTTAGCTTTCATAGTTCTTTCATTCTTTCAATATTAATTTAAATGATTTTCCTTGGATCTAGTTTCAACAGCAAAACTCATCCTTGCCTTTTCAACAATAAAAATAAGATTTTAGAACCAATCACAACCCTTTCTTACCTGACATGGTATCGGACGATTTTGGTTCAAAACCGAAAAACCAAAATTTATTTGGCACTGCACACAAACCAACTGAACCAAATTGATCAAAATGTTAAACATACTGTGTAGATTCAAGCACTCATTTGTAGATAACACTTTTAAGTGCCAACTTTTGTTATATAGTATTCTCCCTCCTGTTTCCTATTATGCATAGTATATACACATTAAACAATAATAGCATTTGTAAATAATTTGTGAATGTTTCAAACATGAAAAATCTAAGATTATAACATCATTTGAAACCTCTTTTTGTTTGAAGAAAATAATTTGTTTCCAGGTCCTTATAAATTTCTTAGCTATAGAAAAGATTTATTAGCAACTTTACTGATTTATCCCCTTTGACAGAGTAATGAAGAAAGCAACCAAACCTCTTACGATTCATATTTGTTAAAATAAAAATGCCCAAACCAATGCATGACCAATGAAGTCCGCTTTGAGTTTCCAAATGATTTCTGCAAGCATAGTTGGCAAAAGAATAGCTAATGTGCCAAGTTCATTATTTGTTGGAAGCTAAAAGTTAAAGAGATAGTGCTAAACTATAGAATAATAATCATCAAAGCTAAACAAATAGTTAACTTCTTCTGTAATAATCTTGGTTTCATGTTCCAATCATCACCATTGAAAGATATTTTGAATATTTTTTTTTTGAGCAGGAAAGATATTTTGAATATTAATAGAGCTAAAGTTATTCTTGTGGTTGCAGACCCCATTAAAAAAACACAGACAAAAAGTTTCTTAATAATTGAACAGAAATGGTGCACATAGTAGCATTGTTTTCTTTGTTCATCACTGCATCCTAGAATAGTTAATCATAAATAGTGCTTCACATAAACTTAAAGAAAAAAAATATGGACTATACTTACATAACATGCAATCTCCTTTCTCTTCTTTTCACCAAAAAAGTGAAGAGAAATTATTTCAAAGCTCCATGATGCCAACAAATATTTTACAAAATTTTACACCATGTACACATATGAATGTCAAATAAAATGATTATGTATATACCTAAAACAGCCCCATTTGAGTTTACCAAACATGGAGTTAGCTATAGAGGTTCTTACGGTTGTGAAAATAAATTAAAACTAAACCATGTGCAGCAAAGGAGTATGCAAGAACAGGTGTTACCCTCTGGAAGAAAACCAAAACAAACATAAAAAAAATACCTCAAGAATCCCGCTAGAGGGAAGCATCATTGCAAGAATAGGTGTTACCCACCCCTGTTGACTTCGCCTCTGCCTGTAGCTGCACAATCATTAGACAAAATTAAAACTCAACGGCTCGGGTTAAGCTACTGCTTCAACGAAAGGAATGGCTAGCGCAAGAACCCTAGACCTTGTGTACGTTCCAATTATTCGGTTTTAAAGGTTAAAACAAAACCTTATTTTGTGTGGTTCAAAAAGGGAGTTGCCTAAAATAAACAAAAGAGATATCTAGAAGAAGCTTACGGTTGACTCTGGCGAATGACAAACAAAGAGAGCACGGCTCATATCCGGCCTTTCTTTGGGCATCATCCCTTACACTACGTTAAAGCAACGGGCAGCAGTTAGGATGAACTGAGAGTTGAGAAATCCCAATCTCGAGAACTCGAAGTGGAATTTAAAAAGAGAAGTATATTCAGTGAAAGATAATTAATAAGCGAACATATTGATGATGAGGAATTGAGAACATACTTGTGGCAAATAGTTTTCTCATCAGCGTTGTACTTCCTAGCCAATGCCATCAAAGAAGGCTCGATAATTCCACCATAAAGCCTCAACACCAGATGCAGAGTAGAGTCTATTTGAGGCTTCAACACCAGATACAAACCTGTTTTGAACAGGGCATATGAAAATTTCACCCTTAATCAGAAAATACTACCCTCGACATGCAAGATTCATAATAATAGTACACAAACATGATAGTTTGCCATATAAACCATATATTAAGTCCACTAATCTAAAAAATTCTTTGCTTTCCAAACAAAATTTAAAATTAACAAAAAAACATAAAACTTATTTCAAATAGATGAAACGAATTAAATTGTGTTTTACCATTATCTGGAGCATGAGACAAACACTATTATCCTTCCAAGTAAAAAAGAATTCTGATTCCGCCAACCACCTACCTTCAAAGCACAATAAGAAAAATGGTATAAGTAAAATAAATAAAAAGCTCACAATGGAGTCATCAAAGAAAATTCAGCCTTAATGCTCTAAAAACAATAGATGCTTATAATCGTGGCTACAGTGATCTTCAAAGTTAGCGGAGGGGAATATCCTGTTTGGCTATGGAAACAGTATGAATTCTAATTTAGCAGCATACTAAGAGGTTGCAACTTAAGAGCCAGTGGAGTATTTTCAATGACTACTCTAATACATAGTGTTTTGGAAATTGATGCTAGAGGTTTACCTGAGATGCATTGTGCTATGAAAGAAGCTTGCAGTAGAGACATAATCCTCCAATTTCAAGAAAAGAAAAAAATTGAGACAAAATAGCTTGAACATCCTCCATTACATGATAGCATCAAGAACACACAAAAAAGTAAGACCAATTTCATGTAGCATATTATCCAGTTATTAAAAATTTTAGTGTAAAATGTAAATCATAACCACATATACATAAAAAATCAAAGAACCTCACTCTCAAGCCTCCTCCTACAACAGGAGTTGTTAAGAAGAGAAAAGTAAAAACCTTTTTTCGACGGTAAAAATAAAAAATTCTGGGTGATGAAATATGTTGTCTGCTGTCCATGGTGAAATCTGTTGTCCAAGATGAAATGTGTTGTCTGCTGTCCGTAGCGAGAAACCTTTGATGAAAATTCCGCTCTCCATTAATGGTTGTCTGCTGTCCATGGTCGTGACTCGCCATTTCTAGGTCTCCATTGTGTCTCCAACCTTGTTCCAATCTGGAACCCAAAAATCAGGATCTGAAGTTTTATACCCAAAATATGAAAATCTCAATCTAGCAACAAAAGAAATTGGTAAGAAAATGAAGAAATTGTAAAAGCATCTCGGTCGAAAACTCAAAATTAGAAAGAAAAAAAATTCCGGCGAGCTACTTACCTGCGGCGGTGCTCTCTCTCTATTTGTCCGTCTCTCTCTCTCTCTCTCGCTACGGCAAAGTGCCAATTGGAATTGGACGGCGGAAGCCCCCTTCTTATTCGTTTCTCTCTCTCGCTACGGCGGTGCTGATTGGAATTGGACGGCAGAAGCCCTCTTATTATTCTTTCTTATCCGAATGTGCGGTCCAAATCACCAGCGGCTACTGTAGCTTATCAAATGGGCGGGAATACTGTTCATAAACGCATCCTAGCGTTGTATGTAGTAAGATGAAGAATGTATAAACTCCCTCCGTCCCGATAAGTTTGTCCACTTTTCCTTTTTGGTTTGTCCCAATGTGTTTGTCCACTTCCCTTATCTTACAAATAGCTAAAGATCATCTTACTATTTTACACTTACTCCTTTACAATTATTACACCCAACTATGTAACCAAACCTTTATTTAGTACAAAAAGATAGAGGTGTGTTTTTAACTTTCTCTTTTCTTTATGCTTTTCCCCAGTCTCTGTGTAAAAAGCAAACTGGACGAACTCATCGGGTATATAGTATGCTGTATCATAGAGAATCTAACACAAGAATTTTCTGGTTGGTGCAGAACAAGCTGTAACACAGAATCAAGATAAAGGGGTAAGATATTTTTTGTTTTTTGATATGATTCTTGAGTAGAAAATTGATTTTTCGTGTAGTACTCCATCCTACTCAATTGAGCTAAAACATTAAAAAAAACTAATGTTCTATTATTTTCAATTAGTAACTTATTATGATGCCACCAATTTTTACTCCCTACGTCCCAAAAATCTTGTCACAGTTACTATTTCGGCCTCTCAATAACTTTAGTTTTTTCGCACCTTTTTATTGACCGTTTGATAAAATAAAATATTCTTGTCACATCTTGTTTTGCAGAACTTTTGATATAGTTTTGAAGGGTGTAATTTTTTTATTTATATCTATACCAATTTGTAAATAAAATTATTTTAAAAACGATGGGATTTTGCATGTTTGAAGAGAGACATAGTTTTTGGGATGGAGGAAGTACAATTTTTTTTCTGAGTTTGTTAGTAATACTTCGAATCGTTTCATTTTTTCCTTAAGATAAATATAAAATCTATTATTTTCCTCTCAAGTTTTGTGAATGATGCTGAATTTCAAATTATGCTTCAGGAAAATTTTGTTGTGAATGGCATAAGCCCAAAAAAGGATCAGAAACAAAGCAACAAGATTTCTCAAGGAATTAAAAACAATGAGCCTCATAATGACTCCTCTGAAATGTCAAGTGCTGAAATTTTTACACATGGTAATGGATCTATTGACTTTGCTAAGCTTCCATCCCTCTATGATACACCAAAGGTTAGTCCGAGTGTATTACTGGATTCTAATTTCTGCCTTTTGTTCATGATGAATTTCCTGCCTTTAACATTTTCCTGGAGGCTTAAAGAAAACGCAATCAATGCTGTGCAACGTTCCATACATAGCCTTCTAGCACTGCATATTCTTTAACTTTTACAATCAGCAGTATTATTGTGCATCAAACGATATTCTCTTTGTTGTAGGAAGGTGATGTTATTGCATACCGGCTGCTTGAGTTATCGTCCAACTGGACTGCTGACCTTTCCTCTCACCATGTATTTCATCGCAATATACTTTTGTATTTTTGATTAGTGGTCCCAAGCAAGTGTTTCAACATTCCATTTTACTGAAGGTTGGCAGAGTGTCATCATTCAATTCTGAATCAAGTAGAGTGTCATTGATGCCTGTTGCTGGATATCCGTTTTGTTCTAATAAGCCGCGTGAAGGTGCATGCACAATGCTACCTAGTAATTGTCTTCACAAAGAGGATGGATCAGTTGAGGTAACCCCCTCTCCATATCATTGGTATAACATTCCCATTCTGTGCAGCTCCTAAAATAAGAACTGTTAATGCAGATAGATTTGTCTTCCCTCGTTGATGTTCGTGCTCTAAAACCCACCATGTTTCACTCTTCAAAAGAAGATTCTGCTCGTGCCAGTGATGGTCTCACCAGCAACACACCAGAACATTCAATTAGCAACAATCATAAGTCAATACCTTATGTTCAAGGTACTAGTTTCATTTTCTAAAGTGAAATGTGTATGAGAATTACAGCTGTACATCGTTGCGAGTTTCCCAAAAAAAAAGTAAAGTTCCGCTCGTTTATTTTAAGAAGCTTTTACAATTTGGTGTTTGGTCATGGGAAAATTAGCTTGAGCAAACTCATTTCTGAGTCCACTTAAACCTCACAAGTCAAAAAGCAAATAGCTACCCGCATATTGCTTTTACTTATTGGTTTTGAACATATTTTTTTGTTCTTTTTGAAAACACTCGCAGCCAAAAGCGAGTAGTTACCAATTCATTGATTTTGGATGCAACAACAAAACACCCCGCAAACCTTTTACTTTTGGAGAATTTTATTACAACTCCCATTACATTCTGCACTCAAATTGTTGTTGATGTTTGCCAGAAAGCATGGATGTAAACCACGAAAACAAAATGCCTGGTGATAGCAAAGGTATGATTCCACCGTCAACTTTACCAATATTTCTGGGTCATTCCTTGCCTATGAAGATGTTATTTAAAAGTTAACGTTGTCTCTCCATCAATAGAAAGTGGAGTGAACCTGTGGGAGCAACTCAGTTCGGCTTTATCCATCAAGAAAGAGCAACTTTCACAGCAAAGTAGCTGGGGTAAGGTTAGTCCAAGCAAGAGTTTTCGCTCCTACGAAGCTTCCAAAGTTGGTGGGTTTCGGCGTAGACAAAATTTCTGCAGATGGAAAAACAAGAGATGATCAGATGAATCGGAATATTGTGTAAAGCGTGGTTCTGTTTATATTTATCTCAAAAATGTTTGCGCTTTGTTCGGAACTTAGTTGGTAATAAAACTGCAATTTGCAAGTTTTTAAGAAAAAAACAATGAGATCGTCGTATCTTCTTGAGTTCGTTTGTTCGATCTGCTATGAAACTCATCTTCAAGAGTAGATTTCTTCTGCATGCCAAATAGGGCAACATTTCTTGTCTCTTGTTTTTTTGGCTCATTCTATGTTTAATATTCCGTATATTTTGAATATCTTTGGATCAATAAAATCAAATGGAGTAATCAGAAATTCTCCACCTTTTTTGCCCATTTCGTGACAAAACATACATTTACCTAAAATCTTGTGTAGGGTGAAGGCATCTTAGCCATCTCTTTTTATGGAGATTGACAACCGAAATACTTCATCCGTCTTATAATGAATTATATTTTTTTACTATTCAAAAATCACATGAGCTTTTTGTGTATTTCTGTGTTTTCATCGACTATTTGATAAAATAAAATGTTTTTGTCACTTCTTTTTTTGTAGAATTTTTTATGTACTTAGCCATCTCTTTTTATGAAGATTGACAACCGATATGCTTCATCCCTCCTATAATGAATTACATTTTTTTACTATTCAAAAATCACATGAGTTTTTGTTTATTTTTGTATTTTCATCGATTATTTGATGAAACGAAATATTCTTGTCACTTATTTTGTAGAATTTTTTATGTACTTTTAGAAATGTAAGTTTAATTTTTTTTATTTCTGTAACAATCTTTAAATAAAATCAATTGAAAAAATTTAAGTAGTTATTTGTTTTTTGCGTAAAGTGTAATTCTTTAGGGACGAAGGGAGGGAGTATTATCCTACTATACCATGTCATCTCCTTGTGGCTATAAATTTAATCTCGACAAGTTTGGGAATTGGAATTTTGATTTCAAATCTAAATATGACTCAAATTTCTTGTTTGGGAAATATTAAAATTTTAGATTTGGATTTGAGACATATTTTCTAATTCAGTACAATGTTCAATTACAAATTCATGTCTTCTCTTGTCATTTTAAATTCAAAATTTCAAATTATGGAATTGAAATGCAAAAATTCAAATGCAATACTAGTTCCAAACGTTATCTTAAATTACTCACAGATCTTTAGAGTCTCAATCTCAATAAAAAAATCCTTTGATTTCAAATACTTTGTACAATTTTGAGCATACAAGTATACAATTTTAATAATCATGACAAGTCAAAAGAGAATTACTCTTTTTTTAGGGAAAGCAAACAATTACTTGATTCTCTTCAATCAACTAATTTTTATAAAGCTAATTGACGACTAATTCTAGTAAGCATAATCAACCAAATGAGAATTAAAACCAATGAGCCATAAGTGAAATGAGATTTATGTGTTTAACGATGAAGCTAATAAGTAAGAATGAACGTGAGCCACGTAAATGTTACTAAATGCGGAGTATGGCACGAGAAAATAGATAGACGAACAAATAAAAATTAAAAAAAGACAAAAACAGAGGGAAATATAGAATATCACATTATGTTTTTTGGTTCATCAATGTCAACTGAAATATGAAATAGTATTCCTTGTGCATTTCTTTTTATAATAACAAAACTGATACAAAGTAGTATTCCCAATTCTATTCTTTATCCATTCTGTTCTCCATCCCTCTATTGTTTAAACTTTAAGAGAGAATATGGTCAGATGACTAAAATTCAAACCCATTACGAATGGAGAACGTGACACAGTATATTTGGATTTGATAGCAAGGTACCTGTCTACGTTCAACGAGAGACCTATAGTTAGGGAGAAAAGAAGCAGAATCCCTCTATGGCTTTTGCTTTGTGCCTTTGGATTCTGCTGACCAGATTGGAGGAATGATTTTATATTGTTTCCTGGGCTTTTCTTCCTCTCTCTGTGGATCTTCTTCTTTGTTGGCGTCCTCGCCATCAAGAATGTCCTTCGAGAATGCATCGGGATTTGTCTTTATACAATTCTGGAGATCCACAAAGGGATGAACACAGTCTGAGCCCTGTAACAGAAAAAAAATGCCCGTTAGATTTTATCACGATTTGATAGGCTTTTAGCTAAATTGGAACAAGACTACTGTATATGCACGGCAAGTTTGATTACAGACCCTACTTGGGGCTACTTCTGTGGGGCTTTACTGTTGGTGAAATTGATCAAGATGTTAATAATAGAATTCAAGTCAGATGGTGTAAGTGGAGGAAAGCTACTAGGGTCATTTGTGATTTAAAAAAAATCCACGAGCAAAAGAGGAGGTTTTACGGGACAGCTATAAGACCAGCAATGCTCTAAGGTAGTAACTGTTGGGCTTTACAAGGATGAGATGAGCATAAAATAAGGGCTGTTAAGATGATGATGTTAAGATGGATGCGTGGCCACAAAAGAAAAGATAAGATTCATAATGTTTTGATCTACGAACGGGTTGGAATGGCACCTGTAGAAGAGAAGATGGTAGAATATCAACTGAGATGGCACATACATGTTTCAAAGAAGGCCACTTAGCATTCCATTGAGAAGGGTTGATCAAACAAAACAGTCTGTTTTAAGAACCCTCTGGGAACTCATAGAGCATGACCTCGTACTTATAATAATGTATCAAAAGATTTTGTTTTCAATATAGAAAACTGGCATCATTTGATTCATGTGGCCGACCTCGCCTAGTGGGATTTAAGGCTCAGTTGTTGATGTTGTTCCTAACTAACTAAAAGTGTTGAACTGAACTATACTTGATTGAAAATAAGTAGAAAACAACAGACATTTAGTATTAACTTTGAATCTGATAGTCAATTGTGATGAGCTGGCAGATGATATAGACCTAGAAAAGAATTTTTTTAAAGAAGTCAAAAGGGATCAACAACAATATAACTTGAGTGAAAGCTTTGACCCAATTACCTTTTCTTCAGCTGTGCTCTTGAGAAAGCAGAGGAAAGCATTTGAGAACTGTGTACCACAGGGGCCACTCCGTAGGTGAGCAATGCAAGGACATTCCAGGGCTTTCTCTGCCTTCTTTTCAAGAGACTAAACATACAGCCATAGCAGTATTAGTAAACAAGTAATTGAAATTTAAATTAATGGAAAATCTCACTTTTTTCTTCTAAGTGTGGTCCCTCAATTATCTTAAATAGTGAAAAACTCGGACCCTACGTCACTTGGTTTAGAGTTGTTTAAAATTTGTGTTCAAAAGTGTGGTTTTTATGGGAACTAAATACTTCTAAATTCATGTACTGCCATGGCAATCATGTTCGATGAGTGGACATGACTATAAAAACTATAGTCACAATATGAACAATGGTAATGATGGGTCTAAAATTTATTCTCAGTAATCCTTCAAATGCAGGTCACAATATGAGCAATGGTATCTTGCAAAAAACTATCATTATGATGTTTTCCCATGAATTGACGGTGCTCGCTAATTTAAAACAAGTATGCCCTCCATTATATCCCATGCAAAAATGGCACAAGTTTTAAGAGTAGGTTGAATACTGGGTTGAAAATGTTACTAGTCAGGGAAATTACTACAGTATGGAGTATTTAACAAGACATAAAGTGGAATCTGTAGGTAGTTGAGGAGTGAAAACGTCTTTTCAATGGTCTAAAATTTTTAAAGAATGTAATGGGAGGATAACTTTGGGACATCCTGATAACGTAAGTATGGAGTAGTAGACATAAAATTTCATATCTTTGTTTTTAAATCACAAATTAAATTTCAGATAATATGATTATGGGGACTTGCCACCAAGAAACATAATGATTCGGCTAGTGGCAAGAGGCAATGAATTTGACACCACTAAAGAGAATTGAATGGGCTCTTTTGCATAAATTAAAAAACAAAGGTTACATGCTATAAAGTGAAACAATTGAGGAAGCCAAAAATATAATTGTATCTAAGAAGTATCGAGCAAGTTCATATATATTAAAGACAACCAACCTCATTATCATCATCTGCACCATATGCTGCAGCTTCTGCAAGAACAAAAGGAAAAAGAAGTAGGGATGTGATTCCTTCAAGGAGCCTCAAGGTTTATCATGGAAAACGACGGGCAAATACTCCCTCCATCCCAAAAAGAAGACACGTCATTTCCCTTTTGGGATGTCCCGAAAAGACTCATCTTTCCCTTTTTAGATAACTTTAGAGCAGGGGTGAGGTCTGCATACACACACCTCTCCCAGGCCGGCAGGCCCTACTCTCATGGGATCCAACTGGATTGTTGTTGTTGTTGTTGTTGTTGTAATCTTTCTCTCTCCTCTACATTACTTTCAACTACTCAATTTTACTTTTACTAAATTCCATGTCAACCCCAATTTAGAGTCTCTTTTGGGATGGAGAGAGTATCAAAAAGTTCCACACACAAAAAAATGAATCTCAAACAAGCAATTTTCATGATTACTCAATATTCAGAATAGTGTTTTACTCCGTAGTATGATAGTCTATTAAAAATTTAGAACCAACATGGCTATTCCCAATTAAATCAACTAATAGTGTACACCAGTATTTCCACATTGAGGTTACCAAATCACATTAGAGAAGGGTGCAAAAACGACCCTAATGTTTAGTTGTATAGAGAAAAGGTCGAAAAAGAATCCTAATGTTTTGATGTAGTTGGAGATATGTCCCTAAAGCCCAATCTAAAGCCCATGCCCAAGAGCCTATAACGTCTTCCTCCAAAACTCGCCCAGGTTGCGTCGGGTCTCATCTAAGGATCAAACCTGGGTGGTGAGGTTCCCCATTCAATCCCTTATGCGAACTCTGATAGGGGGATCTCCCACACACAACATACATGTTTTAATTAGAGAAAACATAACACATCATTGTCACAAATCTTTTAAAACTTGATTCCTAAACAACTAAAAAAACATAAACATGTTAAATTATAATCCTATATAGGTTCACCATCTTCATCTCTTTCATCCAAATTGGTGACCTCCAACAGCAAGGTCAAATATGATCTAGCCATGGTTAACCACCTTGTGAATCTGCTCCAGCAATGTCAAGCCTGCCCCAACATGGACCACCTCCTCCAGTACAGATAAAAATGCTCCATGCATGGTCGACCACCTCTCGTGATGATCAATGGATCTGCTCCACTCGCAAAACCAAATGAAATAACATGTCTCTGAGGCACACCTCAGCTCCGCCTCACTTTATGAGTATAATGTTGGTGATGTGTAGTCATCGGCCCAAAGTGGCCCACTTGTAGACAACTGAGAATTAGGAGACCAGATTAGGGTTTCGGCCGGCCCAAATGGTTTTAAGCCCAGTTTGCTATAACTTGTCCAGCAAGGGTTAAACCCTAATTAGTTGTCTATATATTTGATCTCCTGTACTTGTAATCATCATCACTCAATAATACAAACCCTAGTTGCCCCTGTGGATGTAGGTCAGATTAGACCGAACCACGTTAAATCTCGTGTTCTCTATTGCTTTCTTGCTTTCTATTCGTGTGTGTGTGCTTTTGTTCTTAACA